GTTGTCCAGATCATTTCTTTCTATTTTTTAGTAGAGACGGGGTCTCGCTCTTGTTCAGGCTGGTCTCGAACTCCTGACCTTGAGTGATCCACCCGCCTAGGCCTCCCGGAGTGCTAGGATTACAGGCGTGAGCCACCGCGCCCGGCCGCAATTTTACTTTTGACACTGTATATATGTTTTTTCTCTCTGTGCCTTTTGACACTCAATATCTAAGTCCCACTGATCCCACGTTCATATTTTCCCTATACGCTTCCATAACCACTCTGCCATTTCTAGTCTTTGTTACCTCTCAGTGGATTACTATAACAACTTCCCACATAGGTCTTTCAATCTTCACTCACCACCATATAATGCAAACTATGACCACTAATAAAAATAACTTTTCCTATGTAGTTTTGACCATACCAATCCCCTATTCAAATATTTTAAAAGACATTCGTCTCCATTAAAAAAAGAAAATCTATAAGCCTTTACTTGCAAACCAAAACCTCCATCTGGCCCTAACCTATCTAATACTAAAAATAACTAACATTTACTGAGGACTAAGCACTTACTTATGTGATATCCTCTCAACTTTAGGAGGCAGTAAAGCATGAGAGCTATGAGCTCAGGCTCTGAAGGGTAAGGCAGTCCCAGGTTCAACTGTGCCACTTACGCCATTAACTCTGGCAAGTTTCTTTCCCTTTCTGAGCCTCAGTTTTTTCATCACCTATAAGAATGACACAGTAGTACCTGCCTCATAGAAATGTTTAAGGATTAACTGAAAGAATAAGAGACGTGCTCAGCATAGTACCTAGCACATAGGAGGCAACGAATACTAATTGATTGAGTCTACTCTCAAATTCATCATCTGCCATTTCTCCCTTTCAATTACTGTACCTTCAGCCAAACATTGTGACTGGAGATTACCTATGAAACACCCTGTGCTCTTCCCCACCTCCATGACTTTGTTCTTCTTCCTTTTGCTTAGAATCCCTTCCTCCTTCCAATTCCTCAAAGATATGCATGTCCAAATTATAACTTTTTTTAAGGTCACAGGTCAAATGTTACTTCTTCCATGAAGCTTTTACACATTTGGTTTCATATACTACTTTACATCTTTTAAAACAATCATGTAGGGCCGGGCGCGGTGGCTCATAACTGTAATCCTAGCACTCTGGGAGGCCGAGGTGGGCGGATTGTTTGAGCTCAGGAGTTCAAAACCAGCCTGAGCAAGAGCGAGACCCCGTCTCTACTAAAAATAGAAAGAAATTAATCGGACAACTAAAAATATATAGAAAAAATTAGCCGGGCATGGTGGCGCATGCCTGTAGTCCCAGCTACTCGGGAGGCTGAGGCAGAAGGATCGCTTGAGCCCAGGAGTTTGAGGTTGCTGTGAGCCAGGCTGAAACCACGGCACTCACTCTAGCCCAGGCAACAAAAGAGAGACTCTGTCTCAAAAAAAAAAACAAAAAACCAATCATGTATTATTTTCTAATACTAAACATAAAGAAAAAAGCTGTTCAAAAAGAAACAAGATTCAAACTAGCTCTGAAGTAAAATGGTATAAGCTTAAGATGGAGTGGCACTTCCACCAAGTTCTATAAGCTTGGACTTTAGAGAAACAGACTTTGTGATACAACTGAAAAGATTTTCCATAATAGTTTGTTGTAATCTGAGAAAATGTGTGTCTAACTATAGTGGTTCTCAAAGTATAGGCCTTGGTGTAACAGTATCAGTATCACCCGAAAACTTGCTAGAAATGCAAATTTTGAGCCCCACCCCAGACCTTACCAATCGGGAATCGTACATGAGACTTGGCAATCTGTGTTTAACAAGTCCTTGGGGTGATTCTGATGTATTCTAAAGTTTGAGAATCATGGCCATACTAAAATAGCACTGGTGGTTAATTTTAGTTCTTTTAATAAGGTGTAAAGCTAAAACTGGAAATAGATTTGAAAACTAATTTGGTAATCTATACACAATACAGAATTGTCAGTGAAACCACAAACACCACCATTAGCTTTGAAAAGCAATTAGCACTAATTATGTGCTATGGCTTTGCTTCCTTCTTCCACAATCTTTCAAACTTCTGCTTATTTCAACATACATATATACATCTGATCTATACATAAGCTCAGATGTTTACGGACAGGATACAGAACCCCAAAAAACCAAGATGCTAGTAAAATAAGGTCATAAAAAATATTCAAATCAAAGAGTAACAATCAAGAAGGCACATACAACAACAAAATCTTAGAACACTAGGCACCAATCATCTTGGTACTTGATAAAAGTGACAGAAATATAAAATATCCAGACATACTATGGGGAAAGCAGATCAACAAAACTAATGTTTGAATTAGGATAAAAAGGTAAAATAATCTAAGGCTGTTTAGTAAACTTCCTAAATGATAACTATGGGGGGAGGAGAGGTGGATGCAAAGCCTTTATTCACTAGCTGTATGTTGCCCTGTCTTTTAGTTTTACAGTTATGAAATCTGCCAAAGAAAGCAAAGGGGAAGAGGTAGTCACAGCCAAGACCACTACACATTATTGTGTAATAACATTTGACAGCTTACAAAGTGCTTTTCAAACCCACCATTTCAGAGGTGTGTGTGCTCTCTATTAAAAGCAAATGCATAAGAATTCGTACTTAACACAAAAGACACACTCAAAGATTTGTCAAGCAGTCTCAGAAACCTGGAAGATACTATTCCCCAAATTATTTATGACAGTGATTCACATGGGAAGATATATAGCATTGAGTAAATAAATGTCATGAAGCAGGGGCTCTAGCAATGCCTTTGCAAGAAATTTATAGGTGTCCAGAGTACAAATTTCATGATTGTATTGTAAAAAAGAGACTTGCAAAAAACAAATAAGCAACAACACAGTGGCATAACAGAAACTTTTAAAGAGCATATAAAATTCTATCACATTCCCACTTATTAATGCAGATAAAGGCTTATTATGCAAAAGAGTTAACTGACCAAAGCAAGCTAAATATTAAAACATTTTATGGGGGATATTTCAGGAATTCAAGAAATCTCCTATTAAACATAATACTAAAAAAAGGCATAAGTCATCTTCAGTCTACATAGATATTTATGTAATTTTAAAAACCTTTTCTATTGCTTTTTAATCACTGTGAAAAATAAAAGTTATTCTCTGGGCAAAAAGTTACTGCTCCTTATTATTCTATCTCTTGTGAAATTAGTATAGGAGATGATTCTTTGTCATAGGAGTGACTCTATGAAGGTAGATTTCCATTAGGTAAGACACAACAGTTTTATAAACTTTGATTTTCCTGAAGATCTTGGTAAGACATCTTTAATTTTCTCTTATATTCTGTGACACTGATTTTCTGGTTCTTCTGCCCTTCAGACTACTCCTTCTATATAGTTCATCATCTTCCTACCCAATATTTACCCACTTTGGGAAAAATAAAAAATCCAATGGAATTTTATAACCACAGCACTCTGTAGCTAAGACATGTCACTTAAAGCATTAAGAGCAGAATCATTTCCTTTTCTAATTTTATCTCCTATTATATCAGTTTCCAGGATTACCAATACACAAAGTTTGTTACATCAATTAACATATCCCAAGGCGTTGAACAGTTTTTAGGCCCAAACCTAAAGACAGGCACACAAAAGTGCTAAACCTAAGCTAACAGCAAACAGTTGGTACAAATTTCTGCCCCTTGTAATGAAGGCCCAGAAGATACCACAGCTAGTGGTGACCTTCACACATACGTAAAGCTCCTATCCCAGCTTTCCTAGAAAAGAAGCTTAATAGCCCAGTGATGACCCTGGGATTTGGAACTCGCTGCCTTTGGAAAGGTGGTGATACATTTACTTACTTTCCCTTTTTTTTGGAGACAGGGTCTTGCTCTGTCTCCCAAGCTGGAGTGCAGTGGCACAATCATAGCTCACTGCAACCTCCAGACTCAAGTGATCCTCCTAAGTAACTGGGACTACAGGTGCAGCACCAGTACACCTGGCAAAATTTCTTGTTTTTTGTACAGATAGGGGTCTCACCGTGTTACCCAGGCTGGTCTCAAAATTCTTGGCTCAAGCAATCCTCCCACCTCAGCCTCCAAAAGTGCTGGGATTACAGGCGTGAGCCACCGCACCCAACCTGATATATTTGAAGTTGAAGTAAGTATCAGAATTTGGTTATCCTTGGCCTACTGTAGATAGCTACAGTCATATAAAAGTCTTCACTCTTTCACAAATACTTCCCTTCTAGCATAACCTTTCATAGCTCAGCTGGTAGAGTGGAGGACTGTAGATTAGACACACAAATTTCCCTTCTTACCTTGAGTTCTAAATTGTTTTTCACACAAATTTATTCTTATATCAATCTGAACTTGAAGTTTTAACTAAAATGAATCTTTATTAATTCTCCTTTGTTTACAGAATGATAGGACAATCAGTGAACTCTTACCTTGTTTCATCCTTTGGCCTGGAGCCATCTTCATTCTGAGAAGCACCTTTAACATGAAAGTTTAAACAGAAGATGAGTTTCAAGAGAGTAGTTTTCATTTTTCCTAAACATGCCATATAAGCAAAGTCTTTTATTAAATCTTTCTAATAAAGAACATACTACAACTTAAATTCCAACATGACTTTAATAGGGAAAATGTAATAAATATTCACATGATTGAAATAAGAAAAGTTTAACCAAAATTCTGTGTAAATGCTTATCATTATGTGTAAGAGATGTTAACTAGTAAAGATATATTACTGATGCACTAGTACTTCTGCCTTTTTTGAGATACGTGTTTGACTAATTCGAACCTAGTGTTTTAGTCATATTTTGTATCCCAAATGCCTCATAAAAAAGTACTGATCACAAGCAGGATGATAAAATAAATAAACCTTTAATACCTCTCTTATACAGAAGCCTGGAAAATAGCTTAAAGTATAGGAAAGGCACAAATGAGTTTCAAAGTGGCCAAAATGAAGTTCAACAATGTTCATATTTTTCTTCCAACTTTATTGATGGAAAATATCCCTAGGATTAAGTCAGGGTCTTTTTAATATTAAAGTGGTGGGGAGATGCTGGTAGAGGTAGGCACACTAACAGTAGCAAAAATAGATGGTAGACAGAGGAGAAGGAAAAAACTATAAAATGCAGAAATAAGAACGCAAGTCACTGTGTTGTGGCCACTATACTGTATCACACTTAGCAAGGTTGGCAAATATCTGATCTAGTCTACAAACATTTTAAAAATGGTACAGGTAAATGGATTAAAAAAATGTGGCATATCTATGCAATGGAAAACTATTTGGCAACAAAAAAAGTACTACTAAAACATATTATGTCATGGATGAATCTTTTTGGGATCACGTTAAGTGAAAGAAGTCAGACACAAAAACATGTATTTTATTATTTCATTTTTATGAAATGTCCAGAAAAGACATATTTTTAGAGATAGAAAATAGTTTAGTGGTTGCCTGGGGCTCAAGGAAGGAACAAGATTTCCTGTAAATGGGCAAGAAGAATTTTTATTGGAAGGATAAAAATGTTCTAAACTTGATTTACAATGATAGCTGGATCCCTCAGTTAAATTACTAAAAATCATTAAGTTGTACACTTGAAATGAGTGAACTTATGATATATAAAACACAACTCAATAAAGCTGTTAAAATGGTAAAAAAAAAAAATGGTGCAATGAAATACATTTTGGGTATAAAAGGGTAAGTTTCAGTTTTATAAGAATTCTTTCTATATAAAATATATTTCCCTAAAATGGCTGATAAACGGGACATAAATGAAATCAGAAACAACACCAAAATATCCACCATAAGTTACTAAAATCAGTCAATTAGTATTTTTCTCAAAATTAAGAAAACCACTTAGAATAATCCATTTAAATCTACCATTACCTGCTACTTCTAAACTTTCTCATTTACTACAATGAAACACAGTTTTGAATCACATGGGCTCTGAGGCCAGACTACCTGGGTTTGTATCCTAGCTTTGTCATGTACTAACTTTGTGACCTTAGAAAAGTATACTTGACTTCCTGTGCCTTTTTCTTCCTGCATAAAATGGGAATAAAGACACCTCCTTCAGAGTATTTATGAGAATTAAACATAAAAACACACTTAGAGTCAGCACACACAAGTAGTCCATAAATATTAGCTATTATTGTTTCTCAAAATTTACATCTCTTTGGGAAAGTCTAAACAAGGGCCATTTTTGTGGAATTTTTTCAACATAAAGTGAAACTGTAATAGAAATTTATGGCATAAATTATTTAGATTTAATCCTTTGCTTTCAGAGAATAGTTAACAACAAAACTTATGCAATGAATGTCTAGGAAGAGAACAATAGCAGTACTCAAATTGTACTTTATAAGTGTATTATTCTTTTAAAAGTATTCCCAGTACAAATTTCCTTCAGAAAAACTCACTAGATTTCTAAATGTACATGTTTTACCCACAGGAAACTGTGCAAGATCTACAAAGATCTCTTCTATTCAGTGAGCTAGTCAAAAGGACTCTCCCACCACAAAATAACTAGAGCCTAGATAAAGCAATTTAACACAATGTTCCTATTGCTTGGGTGCCTAGCAATCTCAAAAATAAACAAAAAAGTGAAATGAAGCATGGTAGTGTGTGTCTGTAGTCCCAGTTACTCAGGAGGCTGAGTGAGGTGGGAGGATCACTTGAGCCTACGAGTTTAGGACTATAGCGCTATGATCATGCCTGAGAATAGCCACTGCACTCTAGCCTGGGCAACATAGTGAGACCCTATTTCTTAAAAAAAAAAAAAAAAAAAAAACTGACACAAGAGTAGGAATAGAATGCAATAAACCAGTGAAAAAACAAGGTTACCCTGCAGGCCATTATCAGCTCTGAGATGAATTAGAAAGCCTTGGGCCAGCAGCAAGGTGGGGTGCTAAACCAGAAACTGCTACATTAGGCTGGAAAGTGTCTGATCTATTCTAAAAATACACATGTTGGAAAGGAGCTAAAGTGTTTCCAGGTCAGTGGCATATCCTGGCACCTAGCAAAAGCAAAATAAATTTTCTCTGGAGCAAAGAATCCCCAATTTAGGCCCTTAAGATTCCAATAGACTGGGCCGGGCGCGGTGGCTCACACCTGTAATCCTAGCTCTCTGGGAGGCCGAGGCGGGTGGATTGTTTGAGCTCAGGAGTTCAAAACCAGCCTGAGCAAGAGCGAGACCCCGTCTCTACTAAAAATAGAAATAAATTAATTGGACAACTAAAAATACATAGAAAAAAATTATCCGGGCATGGTGGCGCATGCCTGTAGTCCCAGCTACTCAGGAGGCTGAGGCAGGAGGATCGCTTGAGCCCAGGAGTTTGAGGTTGCTGTGAGCTAGGCTGACGCCACGGCACTCTAGCCCGGGCAACACAGTGAGACTCTGTCTCAAAAAAAAATAAAAAATAAAAAAAAAAAGATTCCAATAGACTAAGATCAAATATAAACTTGCAATCAAAAAAAAGCATGCACAAATAAAAACAAGGCTCAATGAAGAAAAGACATAAAATCATTTACATCCCCAAAGATTTCAGATACTGCAGATACTGGAATTATTATAAGGAGAAATGTTAAACAACAACAAAAACTATGTATCAAAAAAATCAGCAATCAAGAAATGAGAAATTATCAAAAAGTGAGCATTAGCAACTCTATTCCTAGATAGAGAAATAAAAGCATATGTCCACCCAGAAACTTGCACAAAAATGCTTATAGCAGCATTATTTATAATTCATAATAGTCAAAAGGAAATAAGCCAAATGTCTATCAATGGATGGATAAACAAATTGTGGCACATTACACACACACACACACACACACACACACACACACACGCACACACACGAAATGGAGTATTATTCAGCCATAAAAAGAAAGGAAGTACTGATACGTGCTACAAGTTCGAAGAACCTCAAAAACATTACACTAAGAATCTAGTCGCAAAAAGTCACATGATTCCTTTTATATGATATATCTCAAATAGGGGGCAAATCCATAGAGACAAAAAAATTAGTGGTTACCAGGGGTTGGGGGCGGGAGGAATGGGGTGTTGTTCTAGGGTGACAGAAGTTTTAAAACTATAGAGAGATGACAGATGCACACTTTTGTGAATGTACTAAATGCCACTGAATTGTACACTTTATAATGGTTAATTGTATGTTATGCAAATTTCACCTCAATTTTGAAAATCCTAAACAAAAAGGAGATATATCTGAAGAAGGAATAAACATAAAGCTGAAAATGCACGTATTACTATACCACAGCAATTCCACTCCTAAGTATACACCTTATGTAGATCCTTGAACCTGTATACCAATAAACATATGCAAAAATGTTCGATATATCACTGTTCATAATGGCAAAAAACTAGATGCAACCCAAGTGTTCTTAAACGTAAAATCAATAAACTCTGGTATATTCACGCAGGTTATTATATAGCAGTAAAAGTAAATGAACTACAGATACAATAATATGGGTAAACCTTAAAAGGCAACACTGATACTTCCATAAAACCTAAGAAAAAATTAAAAGTATTATTTATTTATCACATATGATAAAAATTTTTAAAGACCATGGGAATAATAAATTCAAAACGTGAGATAGTGATTATTTCTAGAGGAAAGATAAGGAATGATATACGAAGAAAAATATAGGTGGATGCAATGATATTATTAATGTTTTAATTCTTAAGCTGTGTGGTAGTTTTATGAGTGCTCATTTTATTATGCTGTTTTTATCTTACATATATTAAATATAAGAACATAAATCAAAGTGCTTTGTAAATTATAAAAATTAATGAAGAATACTGTAAAATCTTAGCTGAAATCAACAATGACCATATCACAGACTTAATATTTCAGTTTGTAAAGCAGCACTTATAAAGTAAAACAAAAAAACAAAAAAGTGTGGAAAGGGAGTTTTACTGGCTTTTTGGGGAAAGTAAGTTAATATTCTGAACATACATAGAACAATGTTCAAATGTAAGTCAAGTTCTTAAAAATATCACAGCAAAGTTTCTCTCTATAAAATAATTAGTTGGTGCCCAGACCAGTTGAGATCTACTAATTTCAAATAATATTTGGTAAAGCAAAAAATTTATGCATTTCAGAGACAGGCTTTGTCTTAAAAAAAAAAAAAAACAAAAAAAAACAACTTAGGCTGGTATCTTAGAATTTATCATACTTGTAAAAAACATTACGAACATATTCACATGTAAAAATAGTTATTTACCCTAAAATTAAATGGAACCAAAAAACTAGAGTCTGATATAACAGAGTTTAAAAGGAATAACTGAGATCTGTAGACTACGAAAATAAATCTACATAAATAGCAAATTAACTAAAGGTTTCTTCCTAAAGACTCAGAAAAGCAGATTAATTCTATGCTTAAGGAAGGAAAATACCAGGGCAAATTATGTAGTTACTTCCTAAAGCAGACAAAGAAGAATATCAAAGAAAACATTACAACTGAGACTTTT